CCCTCCGTGTTGCGATACGGGGCAGGGTGCTGCGGGGCCGTGTCAGAGCTATATGCGCTGACCCTCATGTATGGGCATGCGATTGGTCCTGTGGCGCCAACAAAGTGTGCTTATGTGATGAGATATGGATAAGATGTTGTTATGTGTGTTTTGGGAACGTGACTATAGGATTTATGCTAGCAACTGTATATGCTTGGTTATGTGCTTATCTCTATCTATCGTGCCTGTTCTCTATGCTGGTAAACTGTATATGCTTGGTATAACTGTTGACTGTGCTTATCCCTATCTGTCGAGTCTATTCCCTATTTTGAAAGCTAGAGTCTCTTAGGATATATCTTCATGCTTCGAAATGGTTTTTCGTATATCTATGTATATATCTATATGTATTATATTTCAACGCGTTGGAGTGGGTTACCAGCATCTCTCGCTGAACAGATATATTTGGCTTTCAGGCACAGAAGAGTAGACACTGGAGCGCGCTAGAACCTTGAAGCGTAGAAGTAGTTAGTTTCCCTTTCGGCCTGCGTGCCACGATTATATATTTGCATTATTGAGGATAGTAGTTAGTTAGCCTGTGCACCTGAGTTCTCCAGCTCAGGTGTGGCATAGCACCCCGTACTCTTTGTATTGTGTTTTGGGAATTAATGAGATTTCGCCTTTATTATATAAGCTTCAAAAAGTTTAAAAATTTCAGAGTGTTACAAGCACTGGCGCCGTCCAGGGGGACGCGACAAAAGGTCACGTTTACCATTTCGTCTGAGCGAGTTCGGAAAGTGTCCGGTGGAGGAGATTCACAAAGGACGAAAAATCGAAATATATTGTAGAGGAGCGGAGCCATGCCACTGGAAGTCATAGTGGACAAAACGCAGCGGTGGATTTACGAGAACAACTAAGTCAGCGGAGTTCGCGTGGGCAGGAGAATGACTCGGCACCTCGACCGCCACTACCGCCCATGATGCCGCTTACCCCCGCACAGATTGATGCCATCGCTCGGGCAGTAGCAGCACAGACACAAGGGCGAAGGGCCCTGTTGAGCTCCCAGTAGCCCCACGTGCCACAACAGGACCAAGTCCAGCCTTCAGGATGCGGTGGCAGAGGCCAGGAGAACCAATGGCACGACAGTCGGCTGGTTCAGTCTGTGCATTCGAGGCTAGGCATGGACGCCGCTCGACTCCCCGCGCGAGAGCGACTGGGTGAAAGAGCGCCTAGTCGAGTCTGACCCAGTCGGCAGGACATGGGTGTCGCTAAAGATAGAGTGACCCAATGTTTATTTTCAAATAAGTACTTTAAAGTATATCAAGACAAGATTATATTGGAGTTGTTCATGCACAGATAATTGAATGTCGAACTTGTGTATTTTAAATAGGTAATAGTAAGTTTATAAATGCAAGATAATATAGTCAAGATTGGTTATAATTGTCCACAAAATAATTGTATGGGTATGGTTGTATAAGAATTTGTGGGTTAGAGTTCTATTAAGACTTTAATATTAGAATTTGACTAATGGTATAGTTATAATTCTATATTCGACTTTAATACTCCGTATTAGAATTAGACTATTGGTGTAGTTATAACTCTATAAGGATTTGTGGGTTAGAGTTCTGTTAAGGCTTTAATATTAGAATTCTATAAGGATATCTAGTCAATATTAATGGTGAATTAACGGAAACTAACAGAGAAGATAATATTTAACAGGAAAGTTAACGGATAATCATATAATTAAGGATAAATTAGGAAATCTAAAGGAAAAATTAAAATCTAAACAATCTGAACCATTCATTTGATTTAATAATTTAACGGTCATTTTTTCTACCCATTATAAGCCTAACTTTCTTTGGCGGTCTTTATTTATTTATTTATTATTATTATTATTATTTTTTAAAGGAACTTTCTTTGGCTCTTATTAGTATAGTATATAGATGTATAATAGTATATAGATTAAGCTAATACTTACACGGTTATTACTTATTAGCTTAGTATAATTATAATTAAACATGAGTCGTTGATTTTTTTTATAACAATTACAGTTAATTAATTCAGATATTCAAATACTTGAGTATAATTGCCTAATAAAATTGTCTAATAATTCTTATGGTAATTATGGCGGAAGAAGCATCTGAAGCGCCAACTAATGATGATTTAGGATTCATGACGCCTCCGTCTAGAGGGGCGTCACCGGCAACTTTCATGCAGGATGTACGTGCAATTGAAGCATCCCGAAGCAGAGAGGAAATCCCAGAGGACGAACCAGTCACATATGATGAAGGCCAAGACAACGATAAAGAAGATCCATTCTGCCCTATGATTCGTGTTACCAAAGAGGAGAAACTTAGACTCAGAAGGCCGTGGCGACGCTCGCTCATCATTCACGTTCTTGGACGCTCAGTTGGCTATACGTACCTGCTCCGACGCATACATGCATTGTGCTCATTCCGTTGGATCAAGACTACTTCATAGTTAAATTTGATTCTCCACAGGACTATGACTATAAGTGTACAAAATTGCTACACATTATTCTTATCATTGATTGGCAATTTATGTGACATTTAAATTAGATTTTGTTTAGAATAAAGCGTTGGACTGTCTCCGATCTTATGGAATTTCATCTACGGCTAGTTGGTATGAACGAAATCAGCATACATAACAGGAAGGGAAGTCAGAATGTTAGATGTGTTAAAAGCTATTTCTATGAAATTAATTGTATGGTGGTGTTTTATTCTATGGGTTTTGTATAATTTGTGTGGTGTTGGTTTGTTGCAAAAGTAAGTGGATGGCTACTATTTTGGTAAAGGTGGTTGAAGGAAAATGCTATAAAAAGGAAACACTTTCCTTTTTGAAGATCACGAACTCCCATGTTATTTTGATAGAAATTTCCAAACACTCCACTGTATTAACTCTGATTTCTATATTGATTAAGGATTGATATCACGTCTGGTACAGTTAGTCTGGACCTGGTTTAGCGGCATCAACTGGTGAAGTCAAAGACGACATGCACGCTCCAATTCCGTTAAAGATGTTTTGAAGGTTGTAGTAGGTTGTAGTGGTTGTTAGCCGTGTGTACTAACCCCTTGTAAACCTTGGTGAACATCTAGTGGATTGGACAGACGTGAGTTTCCCCACAGACGTAGGAGAAGTGCTCCGAACTGCGTGATCAATTCTAGTGTACTTGATTTATTTTCTTGCCTTTTTATTTTGTTATTTAATTATGCTAAATGACTTAATTAATTGGTCTGTTAATATCTATTCTATAATCAAGTAGAAGTTTATGATATATCTTGCATTCAAGATTCACGGCACTAGTCTATCGATCTGACTATCCCGTGCTTCTTGAACTCAAGTTTTTAGCGGCTTTTATTGCTTTTGTTTATTCTATTACTTTGTTCAATCTCACGGTGTGTTGAGTGTTTTAGGATGGATCGACTTAAGGCGCTTCCCCAGTTAATAGGTGATAACTATGCCTATTGGAAAACACGCACGCGAACTCACCTAAAAGCTCAAGGAGAACTCGTTTGGCGTTCTGTTCTAACGAGATGGACGCATCCTACTAAGCAGGAGCTAGTTCTGATGAGCCACTAGTGACTAAACCTGAAACAGAATGGACTCAAACCACAATACTAATGCTGGATATAATGATAAAGCACTTGACACTATTTACTCACTATTACATGAAAGTCAATTTCCTTTAGTTGCAGGTATTGATTCAGCAAAAGGTGCATGGGAAGCGCTTGAATTGACCTACGAAGGCACTAGTTCAGTTAAGCAATCGAAGTTGCAACTGGTACAATCCGATTTTGTGGAATTTCGCATGAATGAAGATGAAACCATCACGAGTTTCCATAGTCGTGTGCAAGAATTGACAAATCGTGCAATGGTACTCGGCGAGACCTTTCCCCAACCAAAGCTGGTCAAGAAGATTCTAAGATCCCTATCGCCTAGATTCAGAATGAAGGTCACCGCTATTCAAGAACATGACGGTTGGGAAAATAAGTTCGTGACTCAGTTAATGGGAAACCTTCGAACTTATGAAATGAAAATTCTTACCGATTACACCAAAAAGAAAACATCTATAAACAATTGAGTGCTACATCTAATCAAGGGGAACCATGTGATGATCCAATTGAGTTTTTAACTAAACAATTTTCAAAAATTTTGAAACAGGTTTCACAAAAGAGTTCTCAAAATAACAAGTTTAAAAAAGGATCAAACTCGAATGCATCAAAAAATGTTCCAAATCTGACCCATCAAATTATAAGTCTTCTACCTCTCGTCCAACCCATTCCAAAGACAAGTCCAGCAACAAGGGGATTAGATGCTGCGAATGTGAAGGCTTTGGTCACGTGCAAGCTGAATGCCCCACTTATCTAAGGCGAAAGAAGTCTATGTCAGGCATTACCTAGAGTGATGATGAACATGAGTTAGAAGTAGCTGGATCTGATGCGGAGGAAATTTCTGGTAATTTCGTTGCATTCACCGCCAGAACTGAAGTCCTTCCAGAATCTGAAGATGTCACTGACTCAGAAGGAGGAGAATACACCTCCCATGTATATTTATATGTTTTCAAGTAATGCAGAAAATTCGCATTATATTGCTTTGAATTTTTAGCGTTCTTTATGTTCATTTACTTTTTGACCTGTTAAAATTCCTCTCAAGGACTGCTTAGCCTGCAGGGCTGCAAGTATTTACAACCCCTCGCTGGCTCGCTTTCTTCCTTTTTCTAATCATTTGTATGTTATTTTAGGGGAGAGATGTGTTTGTAAATGTGTTTTAGGGGGTTTAAGGTGTTGAAGTGTATATAGCTTTTTTATCATGTGTTATGGGCTTAATAATGATCTGTATATGATTATGGATGAAAGGTATTCTAAAATACTAATTTATATGCCTTTGAATGTGTTAATTAGGATGTTTGTTATCTTCTTCGGCTTGATTTGGAATTAAATTGAGCAAGAGCAGAAAATAACGTGAGCAACAAAGTAACCTCAATATATGCTCATTAGAGTCTTGAACTTCACAGCTTAAAGACAATGTAGGTCATGGGTAGAATAGCTTCTGATTTTAAGAATAACTTGGTTACAATCATGGTAATATATTTGAAATAAGTACTATAAATGGTTGTGGGTTCTAGTTTAGAATTTCTCATCCCTGATATTTTTGGTTTTAGAAGTGGTAGAGGTGTTCCTTTGAAGATTAATCCTGGTGTATTTCTTTTCTTCCTTGTACACCGGATGCTTGAACAATGTTTCAGTTTGTTCAAGTTGAAGTTTGGAAATTCAAGTATCTTGGTTTAAGGTGCTTAGTCTAATTTATTGACTGCAGCGGATGCATTATATCGGTAGAGGCAGTTATGCTTGAGAAGCAGAGCCTAGATGAGTTCCTTTCAATTATACACAAAGGCAAAGCAGTCGTCATCTCCGTGTCTCCTCAGTTTAGAGCCTCGCTTGCTGTTCACTTTGACATTTCCCAACTTCAGGTTAGTTGTAAGGATGTTTTTCTTCTGTTCTCAATGATTTCTGTGCAAGTATATTAGCAGCTATATACAGTTCTTTCAATCTACAGTTCTTCCAAGTATATTAATGCATTTTATTGTTTTGCTTCTTTCAATCTGACTGTTATCTAATTATTATTGAATTTTGTAGTATGCTGCTAGAGAGGCCAAAATTGTTGCCCAAGCAGGGAGAAAGCATGTTATCACTATCTCTACTAATATATATGACAAGAAGGGGTACTGACATTATCCTTGGAGGAAATCCAAAGGCAAGTGTACTTTTCTTTTCTTTATTCAATTTCAGTAAGTTCAAATTTTGTTTTTTTGCCTTTCTACTAGACTAACCTGTTGCCTCTTTTATTAACAAGATGCTTGCAAAAGAAATTTTGGAGGACAGCTTAATTTCATCTCTGACACAAGATGCTCCTCAAACTGACAATATTTTTTTTTTGAATATATAGAAATGAGCCAATCGATGGAATTCGAAGAGCTACAGAAGCTTGCCGATGATCAATTTGAAATGTACCCTCTTGGCCCATCTATGGCACTTACATTCTTATCAATTTTGAAGGATTGTGAGTCACACTGTTTAAATGAGGGATTAGAAGTGAAAAGGCTTGGGGGCCTGCATGTGATAACCAGGTAAATTTGCGGAATTTTGTTCATATGTTTGTCTCTGCATTCTGCTTTTTGTTTGTTTTTTTCTTTTAAATATCCGAATGTATAAAAGTATTATTGTGAACCCACCGCATATAGAATGTTATTGAACTAGGCTCTGTTTTTATTTCTTTTGGGTGTTCTTTTAGATATCCAAATATATAACTAAGTCTGAGTATTCCTTTGAACACAAAATCAGTGTTATGAATATGGCTTCTGTCTTTTCAATTTGATGGATAACATACTAGGCTTGGGCCATATGGGCCGGCCCAAGAAAACAACTGGATCAAGGAAGCCAAGAAGGACACACAGTACGGAGCAATCCAAGAGTTTGTCGAGGATTGGGCCTGTTATTCCCAATATAATTAGAATTGGACTCAATATTTCTAGTATAATAGAATTAGGTCTCATTATGTAACTAAGACTCCCAATATGAGGCAGTCTAGAATTCCTATTCCTTGTAGGGCTCTAGGCCCAAAATATGTATAAATAGGCCCCTCACATAGAAAGAAGGGGAGAACTCTCAATACTCACAAGCAATATTCATTAATACAAAGTTCCTATATTCTCTCCATATATTTTTCCTATATTCTCGTTTACTCTAATGGTAGTGTTGACTTGCCGTTGACTGCCCAAAATTCATAAAACCAACATTGGCGCCGTCTGTGGGGATCGATACGAAAAGTTATCATTCATCCCTCAAAACCTTGAAAGCATGGTAACTACACGACGAAATACTCGAACTAACCAAGAAGTCGCTAGACCAGTCAGAGATTTGAGAGAAACACTCAGCCGCCCCCCCTCGCAGGTACCGAACGATCAACATATTCCCCTAGAGAGGGAGGCCGACCGGGGAGGTCCCCGAGAAGAGGAGGAAGTTCGTTCGAACGCATGCCCACCGGCCGTTGGTGTCCCACGAACCCAGCCATTGGAGCTCACCCTCGAGATAGTAGAGGCCGCCGCACGCTACTTAGGGGCCTTACATCATGGCCAGGCGGCAAGGGCAGGATCCCTAGAACCCTCCCGGATAAACAACACCACCCAGATTGCCGGCGACCGACTGCCCAACACTAACTTACCCCCTGAAAGAACACAGAGATCTGCCCCACCCCAGGGACCCCGTCGTATAATCTCCGTCCTTGACCGCATAGGGCCCCTGAACTAACGGGCAACCGCTCCGCAGCCTGAACTCGGAAACCCCGCAGTAGAAAGCCCACAACAAAGAGTTAGGCTCAACCCCCAGCGACGGGTTGAGGTCATCCAGGCAACCGGTTCTCACATGGGAGGAGCAAGGGAAGGGGATCCCGATCGAAGAAGAATTCTGCAAGACATGGTGGAGGGTAGTGGAGAGACTCCAGAACTTGGTCAGGGGAACCGAGATCGAGGGATGGCAGAACTCGCCATGGAGGTGAGAGACCTCCAAAGGAAGGTCGTGGGTAGGGGAGATCGACCAACCGCTCGATCTCTATTGTCTGCCAGTCCATTCTCTATGAAAATCCAAGAATATCGCGCGCCAAGAGACTTCAAGTGTCCGACAATGCCTACTTACAATGGAACGGAGGACCCCAGCGATCACTTAGTCGGCTTCTAGGCAAAGATGATGGTAATAGGGGCGGAGGACCCCATGTACTGTTGCGCCTTTTTCTCAACCCTGGGCGGGGCAGCGCAGCGTTGGTTCCTATCCCTACCACCAGGGTCCATCGACCACTTCGAAACCCTAGCCGAACAATTCCTAACTTACTTTGCAGGAAGCATGAAAACAAAGAAGCACTTCATGACCTTGACTGCCATACAACAAGGAGAAACTGAGACACTAAAAGAGTTCTTAAAAAGATGGCAGAAGGAAGTACAGGCTGTAGAAGATCTGGACGACCGAACGACCCTCACTTTATTCATGGAAGCCCTCCGGTCAGGGGATCTGTTCACTAGTCTATGAAGGGAGACCCCCGACACGTATGCACAGGCAGTCCAGAGGGCCAAAAAATACGCGGAAATAGAAGAGGCTTTGCGACAAAAAATAAGGCGAGAAGCGAAACGACCCCGTGACGAGACGAGAACGCATCCGTCGGACCGACTGGCTAAACGGGAAGAAAGATCTAACGTCATACGGGGGCCACCTCCCCCTCGACACAGAGCAGTCTCCGCCCTCGGGGCGAGGCAGGTACACGAGGTCCAACCACCCCGACCTACAGAGAACCTACCGCCACCACCCACAGAGGCAGAGGAACGGCCGGCCGCGGGAAGAGCTAGATACTGCCGATATCACAGGTCCACAGGACATTCTACCAAAGAATGTACTACCCTACAAAAAGAAATCGATGAGCTTATCCAAAAAAGACAATCAACTACTCGCCCCAACCAATGGCGAAAACTTCCATGGGCACCAGCCCGGGACCCTCCCGGTGAACTTAGGGATAGGCCCCAACAGAAAGCACCCAACCAAGAAGAGGGGAATCCAGAAGAGAAAGACGATCGAAACTGGAAACACAAGCGTGTGATCCACATGATTTGTGGCGGGCCTGCTGTTGCGAAAGGAAACGTTGGGCTAGACAATTATATGTAGGTGCAGTGCAACATAGACCCCCCATCAAGAAAGGCCAGAGGGACATCATCACCTTCTCTGATGAAGACCTCCCGGACGGCCCAACACCACACCGCGATGCCCTTGTCATCACCGTGGACATCAACGGGACCACCGTCCGGAGAGTATTTGTAGACACTGGCAGCAGTGTCAATGTCATGTACCTCGAGACACTTAACAAACTGGGACTGTCCAGAGAACAACTACACCTGGTGCGGACGCCACTTGCTGGGTTCACCGGAGATAGCGTAGAGGCTGAGGGGTGCCTCACCTTGTCCGTGGAAATAGGAGAATACCCAAGGGTCCGTTCCCTAGACATGGAGTTCGTGGTTGTTAACATCAATTCCGCGCACAACATAATTCTAGGGCGTCCGGGTTTAGAGGACCTGGGAGCTGTGGTGTCGCTTGAGCATCTGTGTTTAAAATTCCGAACACCCGAAGGAGTGGGGATCGCTAAATGCGATCGCCATGTGGCCTGGTCATGCTACCTCCTCTCTTGCCGGCAAATTGGGAGACGCGACCTGCAGGTCCAAACTATCATCGAGAAAACCAAAGGAGAGGAGATTAAGGAAAGGCCGGAACCCGTAGTCGATTTAGAAGAAGTAGCTTTGGATGACTCCAGACCAGATAGAACGATCAAGATAGGCAAAGGGTTAACAGAAGAGGTCTGACTGAGCATCTTACAGACACTGAAAGAGTACAAAATCCTATTCGCTTGGGGACCCGAAGACATGCTCGGAATTGACCGGTCGGTCATCACCCAACGCTTATCCGTCAATCCAGCCACCCGACCAGTCATGCAACGGAAGAGGCACCTAGCGGCAGACCGAAGAGAATTCGTAAAAAAAAGAAGTTTCCACCCTACTAGAGATCGGTCACCTCAGGAAAGTCACCTATCCCGCTTGGGTGGCTAACGTTGTGCTAGTACCCAAGCCCCCAGCATGGAGAATGTGCATTGATTATACTGACCTCAACAAGGCGTGTCCTAAGGACCCCTTCCCCTTACCACGAATAGACTAACTGGTAGACCAAACTGCCGGTTGCACACTACTTAGCCTCATGGACGCCTTTCGGGGCTACCACCAAATATTTATGGAAGAATAGGACGAAGAAAAAATGGCATTCCTGACACCTAATGGAGTTTATTGCTATAAGGTGATGCCGTTCGGCCTGAAAAATGCGGGAGCAACATTTACAAGGATGGTCTCCAAAATATTTCACAGCTTGCTTGGGAAAAGCATGGAGGCTTATGTCGACGACCTGTTGGTAAAAAGCAAAGAAACCCCCAAGCACTCTCGAGACCTTAGAGCATGTTTCCAACTCATGGAAAGATACAAACTGAGATTGAATCCAAAGAAATCCGCATTCGCTGTCCATGGAGGAAAATTCCTAGGATACATGGTCACACAGAGAGGGATAGAACCAAACCCCGAGAAAATAAAAGTCATACTGGATATGCAACCGCCCACCAACCTACTGGAAATCCAAAAACTGACGGGACGACTGGCAGCCCTTAGTCGTTTCCTCTCCAAATCAGCAGAGCGCTCTCTACCGTTCTTCGAAGTGATCAAAAGAAGAGAGGGGTTCGAATGGACCCCTGAATGTCAAGCATCGTTCGAGGAGTTAAAGAAATATCTGTTATCCCCTCCCTTACTAGCCAAACCCAAAGAAGGTGAAACTTTATACCTTTACATGGCGGTGTCGGAGCAGACAGTGAGCTCCGTTTTGGTGCGGGAAGAAGAGAAGCTGCATCATCCAATATATTATATCAGCAAATTACTAAGAGGGGCAGAAACCCGATATACACCACTAGAGAAGATGGTATACTCTCTGATCATCACAGTACGGAAGTTAGTCCCATACTTCCAAGCCCACCCCGTAGAGGTGCTCACAGACCAACCACTCGCCGGCATCCTGAGGAGCCTAACTTCCTCCAGTCGAATGGTGAAATGGGCTATGGAGTTGACCCAATATGGG